TGAGTTATAAAAACAGTAGCAAATGTCGAATAGAGAACGAGAAAAAATGAATACCAAACAATCGAGGTGAGATGTTTTAGTGCAAGAATCGTACCTTTCAAGACTCGCCTATTCTCTGAGAAATAATGCTCTGCTCTTTTAGCAAGAGTGGGATGTAATTTGCACTGCACGAATCCACAAACGCGTTGCAAAATCTTCAGTTTGAGTTATTAAGGTGTGGACAATCTGATATACGTGTATACAGCCAATTTCGTCGGACATTAGAGTTCAATATGAGATTTGAAAAGCAACACATGTAACTTACCTTATGCTCCTCATAAGCTTCTGGTTCAACTGGAGAAAATTTACGAATTCTCAGAATGCAATAATCTTTATTTCATTAAAAAATCGAACAAAATGAGAGCTTGTGACAAGTACCATTGGACAGGAGAGGCTCTAGCCCTTCTTTCCCAGAGGCCCTATGATTACACAGATTAGTGAACTGAATAAAGCTGGCAAGATTCTAAGACTTTTTTTAAGGCAAAAACCACTGTGAGAACATATTGGCTATACTTATTTGGATGACTTTGATAACTGTGGCTGGTAATATTCATCGAGTAATCGTAAAATCATCATGGAATGTGGAATCCATCAACACAAAATAACATAACTTAGAATCCTTATATAAGAAGTGATAGAATATTTTTTTAAGGCTCAGAATGAATAGGGGCACAGAAAAAGTATCTAACAGAAGAATCTTACTGAAGAAGAACTTTTGCAGCCTCTCGACATTCTGCGACTCGTGAGTTATAACCGCTACCAGATATCAAAGCCTGCTTCAACCCTGAGAACGCCAGTAATATCTTGAATTGCTTGCTCATCTCATTTTTACGGTTCCCGTTGGATTGCGGACCGAGTATAAGTTTGTGTTCTTTGGTCTGCACATGAAGGATCATCATGCTGAAAAGGAAAAGCTTCTGAATGCGAAATGTGATAAGATAACCAATATAGAATTTAAGATAAATAAGTAGACAATGAAAATCATGTACTGACTTTTGATGAAACATGAAAAAATGCATCAGGATATTAACAAAATTAGATATATATAGTTACCTTGCAGTTCATACATGTCAAACAGCCATAGCTAGAAAGCACTATGGCAGATTGATCCAATATGCCATTTCTCAGACCCAAATATTCATTTTCAATTAACCTGCACTCGGAGAAGAGTGTACTAAGGATGAAAAGGGTTCGAGATGAGAAGAATATATGATAAATATAAAATTTCATAATGGAAAAGAAAAAATAAACAAAGAGTAAAAACAATGGAAAAAAATAAGATAAAGAACAACCATACCTATCGTATTCGATATTGTCTGTAGGGGATACCTTGAGCTTGTTGGCACTTTCAAAAGCCAACAGGTACGCGATGCCAACCTGTCAAACGAGACCCATTTGTAAGACGTACATCAACAAGGGTAAGAACCAGTCATCGAAATTCCAAGCATATCACATGAAATTGGTAAACACAAAGCAGTATACTTACAGCTGCTGAAGAGCTAAGGCCAGAACTGTCTAGACCATCAGCAC